AGCTGAAGGAATGGTCGAACAAATGGTTGTTAGAGTTTAACCCAACCAAATGTAATGTAATGAAGATAGGTGTGGGGAGCAGGAGGCCAAATACAAGGTATCATCTGGGAGAGGAAATTCTTCAGGAGTCAGAGAAGGAAAAAGACTTGGGAGTTGATATCACGCCAGACCTGTCTCCTGCAGCCCATATCAAGAGGATAACATCAGTGGCATATGCCAGGCTGGCCAACATACGAACGGCATTCAGAAACTTGTGTAAAGAATCATTCAGAACTTTGTATACCACATATGTCAGGCCAATCCTGGAGTATGCAGCCCCAGCATGGAGTCCTTATCTAGTCAAGGATAAGACTAAACTGGAAAAGGTTCAAAGGTTTGCCACCAGAATAGTACCCGAGCTGAGAGGTATGAGCTACGAGGAGAGACTACGGGAATTAAACCTCACTTCGCTGGAAGACAGAAGAGTTAGGGGGGACATGATCACCACATTCAAGATTCTCAAGGGAATTGACAGGATAGATAAAGACAGGCTGTTTAACACAAGGTGCACACGCACTAGGGGACACAGGTGGAAACTGAGTGCCCAAATGAGCCACAGAGATATTAGAAAGAACTTTTTTAGTGTCAGAGTGGTTGACAAATGGAATGCATTAGGCAGTGATGTGGTGGAGGCTGACTCCATACACAGTTTCAAGTGTAGATATGATAGAGCCCCAGTAGGCTCAGGAATCTGTACACCAGTTGATTGACGGTTGAGAGGCGGGACCAAAGAGCCAGAGCTCAACCCCCGCAAACATAACTAGGTGAGTACACAAGTTGCTTCACACACATGTTGCTTCACATACATGTTGCTTCACACACACATGTTGCTTCACACACACATGTTGCTTCACACACACATGTTGCTTCACACACATGTTGCGTCACATACATGTTTTTTCTCACACGTTGCTTCACAATGTTGCTTCACATACATGTTGCTTCACACACACATGTTGCTTCACACACACACCTGTAGCTTCACACACACCTGTTGCTTCACACACACACCTGTTGCTTCACACACACACCTGTTGCTTCACACACACACCTGTTGCTTCACACACACACCTGTTGCTTCACACACACACCTGTTGCTTCACACACACATGTTGCTTCACACACACATGTTGCTTCACACACACACCTGTTGCTTCACACACACATGTTGCTTCACACACACATGTTGCTTCACACACACATGTTGCTTCACACACCTGTTGCTTCACTCACATGTTGCTTAACAGACATGTCGCTTCACACACATGTTGCTTCACATATACATGTTGCTTCACACACATGTTGCTTCACACACACATGTTGCTTCACACACACATGTTGCTTCACACAAACGTTGCCTCACACACATGTTGCTTCACACACTTGTTGTTTCACACACATGTTGTTTCTCACACATGTTGCTTTACACACCTGTTGCTTCACTCACCTGTTGCTTCACTCACCTGTTGCTTTACACACCTGTTGCTCCACACACGTTACTTCACACACCTGTTGTGGGGAAATCTGGCTCCAGTATAATAATAATAAAATGTATAATTTTAAGAATGCAAAATAATGATTAATTCTAAGATAGCTCGAAGGACCAGAATGAGTAATGAAATGAGAAAATCAGTGGCTTATAGATCTATGATTATATGTGAATAAATTCTATTAAGCAATGACTGTAAATTAGATAATTCTAGAGCCAGCCTCCCATGACACATTTTGGCGGGTATTCTATGAGATTAATCTATGTGTAACATATATTATGCAATAATAATAATATGTATAATATGCACACACATAGACAATGAGTAAATTATGTAATGCAAGAAATACTACTGCAATGTGAAAATTAATAATGCATAAAAGGCAGTATCAGATATATATATACACACACACATATATATATATATATATATATATATATATATATATATATATATATATATATATATATATATATATATATATATATATATATATATATTTTGGTAGCAGTCTTTCCTGTAGACATATATTATTAAATATGACCGAAAAAGTAAGATTAATAATTCTAACACGAATTTTCTCAATCTTTCGTACATTTCTTTTCACTGTTGGAGGTAAATCAAAAATCAATTCTCCAAAATTCATTTTTATTTCTAGTCTGACGCGACACGAGCGCGTTTCGTAAAACTTATTACATTTTCAAAGACTTTAGTTTACAAATACACAACTGAATAGAACTTACGCATCTCCGATTTTATACCTACATTTGAGTGAGGTGGATGGGGTGAGGTGGCATTAATTTCATCAACACAAGACAGAACAAGAGGTGGCATTAATAGGGTATTAATTTCATCAACACAAGACAGAACACGAAACAATGGGTATTGAATAGAAGTGTTTGTAGAAAGCCTATTGGTCCATATTTCTTGATGCTTCTATATTGGAGCTTCTTCGAAGAACTCTGTAGGGTAAGGCAGGTCCTAGTCAACAACGGCTTCTCCAATGGTTTCGTCGAAGACATCATAAGAAGGAAAGTGAAACGCCATGCAACCTCTGAAGAGACAACTAACACAACACCTATATCCCCTATTAGACTATTTTACAGGAACTTCTTTTCCACAGCTCATAAAACGGAGGAAAGGGTCCTGAAAGATATTGTTAATAGAAACGTTATCCCTACAGACAAAAATCAGAGGATACAACTGACGATTTACTATAAAACCAGAAAAACGGCCAGCCTACTCATGAGAAACTCTCCAGACACAAAACAGAACGCTTTAAAAGAGACTAACGTCGTCTATGCCTTCAAATGCCCTCTTGGGGACTGTAAGCTCCAAAAAACCCAGTATATAGGCAAGACAACAACATCTCTTTCTAGGCGTTTAACGATGCATAAGCAACAGGGCTCCATTAAGGAACATATAATCTCTTCCCACAACCAAACCATCGCCAGAGAAATCCTAGTAAACAACACAGAAATCATCGATAGATACAGCGATAGCAGGCGGCTTGACGTTTGCGAGGCACTACACATCAAGAAGTCAACACCAGCAATCAACAGCCAATTAATGCACAACTATATTCTACCCACCTCAAGACTCCGCTCCAATATAGAAGCATCAAGAAATATGGACCTATAGGCTTTCTACAAACAATTCTATTCAATACCCATTGTTTCGTGTTCTGTCTTGTGTTGATGAATTTAATACCCTATTAATGCCACCTCTTGTTCTGTCTTGTGTTGATTAATGCCACCTCACCCCATCCACCTCACTCAAATGTAGATATAAAATCTGAGATGCGTAAGTTCTATTCAGTTGTGTATTTGTAAACTAAAGTCTTTGAAAATGTAATAAGTTTTACGAAACGCGCTCGTGTCGCGTCAGACTAGAAATAAAAATGAATTTTGGAGAATTGATTTTTGATTTACCTCCAACAGTGAAAAGAAATGTACGAAAGATTGAGAAAATTCGTGTTAGAATTATTAATCTTACTTTTTCGGTCATATTTAATAATATATATATATATATATATATATATATATATATATATATATATATATATATATATATATATATATATATATATATATATATATATATATATATATATATATATATATATATATATATATATATATATATATATATATATATATATATATATATGGACTCTGAATAATAAGGTACTATCTACAATGAAAACTGATTAAATCTCAGCTGTGACAGAAGGACGTAGATGCAATCCACTGTACGCCAGTCTGGAAACATTTTGAGATAGTGATACTGGGAGCACGTGAGGGTATGGCGGTCACACGCTTCCTCAAGGGTGTTGCACCATGCTGCAATAATGATAATTCCGTAATTTCCACCCCAAACTAGTATTCGCACACACATATAAGGTAATATCTAAATATTTGGAGGGGAAAGAGCTGCACTTACATGGAATTTTTCGTACGCCCGCAGTGTGATGATATGGCTACCTATATTAATCATATTTAAGAGCTCTATAAATATTAATAAAAGCTAAAATGCCTGACGAACTGGTGTCCGTGATTCTGGTAAGCTGCGTCCTCAATCTGGCATCTAAGGTTGTTCGGATGCCGTCTGGATGATAAGATTTCTTGGACCGCTTACGGAACACCTTCACGCTCGTTGATTGAAAATGGCGAGAGTCCCCTCTCCTCCTTCCTGAAAGTCGCGCATGCGCAAAAGCTCACCGTGAGGATTCGAGCATAAATTATATTTATTTATTAAAGCTAAATAGGGAAGGAGGCGTTTATGAACACTCTTGATGGTTTAGGTAAATTCTTTATGTGGTGATGTTTTAATTCTCACAGTGCACGTCAGTTAATATAGACTGCACATATAACTTTGTGGTGGAAATAATTTTAGATTATGATGTTATTTACTGGAACAGCGATGAAGCTGGTTACAGGAATTCCAGTAAACTGTTGTATACTAAAAGTAAACCTATTACAAAATAATTATTCCTAATAAAGGAAAGTAAATGGTTACATCTGTGTTAGATCTACAGGTATGTGGAAATTTAGTCTCCCGTGAGTGGCTGACGCAACACTACACAATTCTAAGAGAACTTACATGATGTTCCACAACCTAATACATTAAATTCTACAATACTAAACTACATATTAGTAGTGTTAGTTAATTATTACGCTTAATACAGGAAATACATCCTATTGTATTAAGGATTAGTAAATGAATATTAGATGTGTATGAAACCTAATACAGGAAATACATCCTGTTGTATTAGGGATGAGAATAACTGTTGGAAATTTCCAACACCTGTTGCTTCACACACATGTTGCTTCACACACATGTTACTACACACACCTGTTGCTTCACACACACACGTTGCGTCACACAGGTGTTGCGTCACACAGGTGTTGCGTCACACAGGTGTTGAGAGGTGACGTTACCACAAGAGTAACAAGTACTGTTTGTTTACAGACAGGGAGCTGGGAGACCCCGTCACCAGGGCTGCCAACACTACCTCAAGTGGACCTCAGAGCCGTAAGTCTTCTTTCCTCAAGTTGTTTACCTGAGGGCCACCGTCTATTTAGTGACCACGATGGGGACAGGAAGCTAGCGACTTGTCAAAGGCCCCCCCCCCTTGAAGCTGTTGCATCTTGCATGAGTTACATCTGACCTTTTAAAGAAGTGGCCGTGATTAATAGCCTCCAACTTGTTAAGTGTGTTCAAAGTTGCTCAGAGATCCACAACACTGAGTTAACAACACTGGTCTGCAGTGTTGTTAGCCCTCTGGCCCCTCACCTGTTGCTTGTGTGAGAGTTGACTTAGTTCTGGGAGGATTTTTGCCACTCTGTTTTGAACTTTCTCAAAAACATATATGTCTTTTTGAAGGTGAGGTCTTTATGAACAAATTATAAAGTGTTGTATAGTGTAGTGTAGTGTAGTGTAGTGAGGTCTTTATCCTTGGATACAGTAGTCCAGTTGAAGGCCCACCAGATATATATATAGTTGAAGTCAAAGTTTCGCTTAACTATTCCAAGGGTTTGGGATTTAATTATTTTTTACTGCGGCTTCAACGTGATGTGCAACTTTCAGTAAATTCCTATATGCAAGGTCTTGCATTTTTCAGTATTAAAAAGCATTTGTCAGTCTTCCGACCATTTGTGGAGTTCAAATAGATTTCTTTGTAAAGTCCCAATATCATTTTCGTTTCTTATTTTACCATTGATATTAGTGACATCATGAAATTTAATTATATAATTTGTAATATTCTCACCTGTGTCAGTGACGAATGTGACAAAAGGGTTGGACCCCAAAATAAACCCCTGTGGAACCCCACTTACCACACTCCTCCAGTCAGATTCGTTTCCATTCCATATTTGTTTTCTATGTTTGACCACTGTTTTTCCCACTCTAATACTTGATCATTTATTACATGTGCTTGTAATATCCTTGACAGTCTTTTCTGTGGTCTCTTATGGAAAGCTTTGTATAAGTCCATGTATACCACGTCTATTGTAAGTCCTTTGTCTGAAGAGGTGGTTACCGTCTCCTATAATATAAGCAGGTGGGAGAGGCAGGATATATGCGTAACAAAACCGTGTTTATCATATATTTTGACCTCTCGATAATGTTTCAAAATCATAATTAACGAGATGGTTCCTTGGAAGTAACATTATGTAACTGTTGACCTATATATATATATATATATATATATATATATATATATATATATATATATATATATATATATATATATATATATATATATGTATATATATATATGTATATATATATATGTATATATACATTGGGACCTATACACAATGACATCACAGTAATGGGGTTTATCTACGAGAAAATCTCTGGAGCAGGATGGTGGGATCGAACCCGCGTCCTGCGTCACATCAGATGTGCGCCTACCTGAGCCAAGATGTGCTTGGAATGTCAAACAACTTGAAGTCTATTCAAATCTACTAGGAACTTGGAGTCACGGAGCTAGTGCCCAATCACTTCCTCACACACACCCTGAGGGTCAGGACCTGACCCGAAACTCCTGTAGCTTGGGGGCCACGCAGCAGTGGTCACGGGGGACCCTGACCCGAGACTCCTGTAGCTTGGGGGCCACGCAGCAGTGGTCACGGGGGACCCTGACCCGACATCACAAGTTATGTGTCAAGTAAACCCCATTACCTCCCACAGGGCAGTTGTCGCTCATCTTCCAGGGCGTGTACGCGCCCGACGCGCGCTTCAACGCCTTCGCGGACGGTGTGATGGTCAACATGGTGGCCGAGATGAAGAGGAAGAAGATGGACCCTCTCTACTTCCGGGTCTACGACCGAGGCATTGTTGAGTAAGTCTTACCGATATATATATCTATATAAATAAAGATGTAAATGTTCGTTTGTTCAAAATGGCTAATCTCCGAAAGTTCTTCACCGATTGCTTTGACATTTTCACACAACGTTCCATTCGCATCCGGCCAGATTTGTATATACACACTATATAGATATCACGTCTGTGACGGTAACAAACATGCTTTTTCTGAAAAACTGTGTTTTTTCATGTGTTTTTCATGTGAGGGAAATCTTCGAAACCTCTTTACCGATTGCTTTGAAATTTTGACAGGAAGGGGACAGGAAGCTAGCGACTTGTCAAAGGCCCCCCCCCCCCCTTGAAGCTGTTGCATCTTGTATGAGTTATATCTGACCTTTTAAAGAAGTGGCCGTGATTAATAGCCTCCAACTTGTTAAGTGTGTTCAAAGTTGCTCAGAGATCCACAACACTGAGTTAACAACACTGGTCTGCAGTGTTGTTAGCCCTCTGGCCCCGATTGGCCCTCTCGCAATGTACGCAATGTTGCGTAATGTTGAACGCAATGTTGCGTTCGCAATGAACGCAATGTTGCAATTGCAATGTTGCAATGAACGCAATGTTGCGTTCGAATAGGCGCGTGTTTTTATATATCTACTATATACATGCCTTACGTTTGTCAGTAAAAAATTTTTTTTTTTTTTTAAGTGCCATTTGTTGGACGTAAGAGAAACATACGCTGTAATCTCCGAAAGTTCTTCACCAATTGCTTTGAAAATTTGACACAACGTTACATTCGAATAGACGCGTCTTTTTTTATACCTACTATATAGATGCCACCCCTGTGACAGGTAAAAACATGCGTTTTTTAAAAACAGCGCCATCTGTTGCACATAATGGCAACATGCACGCTATACTAAATATGTTACGAATTTCATTTCAAAGTTTCCGATTGCATTGATAAATTTTATTTTCATAGATTTCAATTTTTTTTTATTGAATTATTTTGTGTGACATTGGTGTTGGAATTGAGCTGTGTTGTTTACCATACCGTTCATTTTGTAAGTATAAGTATAGATGCCACACCTGTGACTGTTAAAACTATGCTTTTCTTGACAAACAGCGCCATCTGTTGCATGTAAGAACAACACACATGCTCTACTAAATATGTTACAATTCCATTTAAATGTTTCTGATTACATTGATAAATTGAATTTTCATAGATTTTGATTTATTTTAATTTTGATTTAATTATTTTGTGTGAATTGCATTGGAATTGAGCTGTGTTGTTTACCATACAGTTCATTTCGTGAGTATAGTTAATTTTTTATTTTTTATTTTTTATTTTTTTCACTGCAGTCTACACTAAGGAAACGAACATAGGAATGTGCCTAAATGCCAACAGTGACTGCCCAGACAGGTACAAGAGGAGTGTTGTTAACGCATATGTCGACCGTGCTCTCAGCCACAGCTCAGAATGGAAGCAAGTCGACGAAGAACTCTGTAGGGTAAGGCAGGTCCTAGTCAACAACGGCTTCTCCAATGGTTTCGTCGAAGACATCATAAGAAGGAAAGTGAAACGCCATGCAACCTCTGAAGAGACAACTAACACAACACCTATACCCCCTATTAGACTATTTTACAGGAACTTCTTTTCCACAGCTCATAAAACGGAGGAAAGGGTCCTGAAAGATATTGTAATAGAAACGTTATCCCTACAGACAAAAATGAGAGGATACAACTGACGATTTACTATCAAACCAGAAAAACGGCCAGCCTACTCATGAGAAACTCTCCAGACACAAAACAGAACGCTTTAAAAGAGACTAACGTCGTCTATGCCTTCAAATGCCCTCTTGGGGACTGTAAGCTCCAAAAAACCCAGTATATAGGCAAGACAACAACATCTCTTTCTAGGCGTTTAACGATGCATAAGCAACAGGGCTCCATTAAGGAACATATAATCTCTTCCCACAACCAAACCATCGCCAGAGAAATCCTAGTAAACAACACAGAAATTATCGATAGATACAGCGATAGCAGACGGCTTGACGTTTGCGAGGCACTACACATTAAGAAGTCAACACCAGCAATCAACAGCCAATTAATGCACAACTATATTCTACCCACCTCAAGACTCCGCTCCAATATAGAAGCATCAAGAAATATGGACCAATAGGCTTTCTACAATCACTTCCATTCAATACCCTTTGTTTCGTGTTCTGTCTTGTGTTGATGAATTTAATACCCTATTAATACCACCTCACCCCATCCACCTCACTCAAATGTAGATAGAAACAAATCGGAGATGTGTAAGTTCTATTCAGTTGTGTATGTGTAAACTAAAGTCTTTGAAAATGTAATAAGTTTTACGAAACGCGCTCAAGTGTCGCGTCAGACTAGAAATAAAAATAAATTTTGGAGAATTGATTTTTGAATTACCACCAACAGTGAAAAGAAATGTACGAAAGATTGAGAAAATTCGTGTTAGAATTATTAATCTTACTTTTTCGGTCATATTTAATAATCTATGTCTACAGGAAAGACTGCTACCAAAATATACTAATATATATATATATATATATATATATATATATATATATATATATATATATAATATTACGTCCTGAGCATTCTGAGCTGAGGGACGCTCAGGCCTCCCCTGGGAACACAACTCTCAGCCTCGACCCTGGGGCCACAACTCTCACCCTCGACCCTGGGGCCACAACTCTCACCCTCGACCCTGGGGCCACAACTCTCACCCTCGACCCTGGGGCCACAACTCTCACCCTCGACCCTGGGGCCACAACTCTCAGCCTCGACCCTGGGGCCACAACTCTCAGCCTCGACCCTGGGGCCACAACTCTCACCCTCGACCCTGGGGCCACAACTCTCACCCTCGACCTGGGAACACAACTCTCACCCTCGACCCTGGGGCCACAACTCTCAACCTCGACCCTGGGGCCACAACTCTCACCCTCGACCCTGGGGCCACAACTCTCAGCCTCGACCCTGGGGCCACAACTCTCACCCTCGACCCTGGGAACACAACTCTCACCCTCGACCCTGGGAACACAACTCTCACCCTCGACCCTGGGGCCACAACTCTCACCCTCGACCCTGGGGCCACATCTCTCACCCTCGACCCTGGGGCCACAACTCTC